TCCCGTCCTTTCCAAACTGAAACTGAACAATTGGCGTTGATAGATTTTTCTGCCGGCTTTCTGAATTTATACAGGAATTGTGTAGAACATTACTGTAAGTGCCACTTAAGTTAGCCAAATACTCTTCTTAAGTAAAGCGACGCGTGTTTTTTATGAGCATGGTAACTAAAACATGTAGATAATACTATTTTACGATGTCCCGTATAGGGTTGAAATATAAATTTCTGTTAACAGAATCCGAAATCACTGACTAAATCATAAACAAAGTGTTAATGCATGTTGACGAGTAATCGCTAAATAGTGGTTACCAGTGATTTCATTATTGTATGTAAACAGTGAACTGCAAACAGTATTATGAACGTTGTAATTGGATTTTTCTCAAATTTCATATAATTAATTAAAGTTTGTGAGTCCCTTCGTTTGGTGCCTGAGGTTTGTTTGTTAATACCGAATAACTAGATGAAATTGTAGGAAGGTTAGAAAATTAAGAGCACTGTTTACAGCAAGTAAAACACTTGCAGGTACATCCTATCAGTTGCTATTTCATTTACTTATGGAATTTGATACTGATAACGAAGTTTAATCTTTTCTTTCACGATTGATTTGCTGTTTTTCAGAATTGCATTTAGCAAGCTATCCATAACTCCGCCTGTAGCTCTTCTAGAATTACTGCCGGTCCGAAGCCCGGGTAAAGAAGGAGGGTTGGGCATGGGGTTAGCGACCCCATCCCGTAGAATAGCTAACTCGCTAAAAAACGCTAACCAGAAAAAATAATTCAAACCATTTAAACTCTGCCCTGGCACTTGAAGGAATAATTATGACGTCTCATGATGAAAGCCGAAATTCTTCGGAAGTCACGAGACCGATGCACCTTCTAACAACCAGAGCAACATTCTTTATAGGTACATGGAACGTCCGAACAATGTAGGAGACAGGAAAGACTAGCCAAATAGCAATGGAAATAAGGAGATACAACTTGCCAGTACTCAGAATCAGCGAAACCCATTGGACACAAACTGGACAACAAACTCTAGGTACAAGAGAGATGCTGTTTTACTCCGGTCACGAAGGGGAAAATGTTCCACACACTCAGGGAGTTGCTATAATGCTGTCCAAAGAAGCACGAAACGCACTTGTGGGATGGGAATCTCATGGACCCAGGATAATCAAAGCATCATTCAGAACAAAGAAGCAAGGGATCACGAAAGGACCTCACCATCCTGATGGGAGATCTAAATGCTAAAGTTGGAGTGAACAACACATGATATGAAGATATAATTGAACGACATGGACTAGGAGAGAGAAATGAAAATGGGGAGAGACTTGCAAACCTATGTGCATTCAACAAATTGGTTATAAGTGGCACAATATTCCCACACAAGCGCATACACAAAGCTACATGGATCTCACCTGACCAAACCACAGAGAACCAGATAGATCACATCTGAATCAACAAAGAATTCTGAAGATCAATGGAAGATGTGAGAACCCGGAGAGGAGCTGACATAGCTTCAGATCACCACCTGGTTGTGGCCAAGATGAGACTGAAGCTAAAGAAACACTAGACGACTGGACAAAGGTTCAATACAGCCTTCCTTCGAGATACTGACAAGCTCCACGTATTCAAGATAACTCTCAACAACAGGTTCCAGGCTCTACAGGATCTACTGAGAGAACAAGAAACTACTTTGGAGGATAACTGGAAAGGGATAATAGAAGCACTAACTTCAACTTGCCAGGGGGTTCTTGGTCCTAAGAAGCGTCATCACAAGGAATGGATCTCTATGGGAACCCTGGACAAAATTCAAGAAAGGAAGAACAAGAAACTATCAATTAACAACAGCCGACCAGAGAAAGTCAAAGCACAAGCAGACTACGCAGAAGCTAACAGGGAAGTGGAGAAAAGCATTAAAGTCGACAAGCAGAAATACATGGGAGAACTAGCAACGGCGGCGGAAAAAGCTGCAAGAGAAGGGAATATGAGACAACTATATGATACAACGAAGAAATTGGCAGGGAGATATAGCAAACCAGAGAGACCAGTCAAGGACAAAGAAGGAAAGACAATCACTGAGATTCAAGAACAGAGGAAAAGATGGGCAGAATACTTTGAGGAACTGCTGAATAGACCAGCCCATTGAATCCACCAAACATCGACTAATAGTCGCCTATAACAACTTTTCTCTTTATCTTCTGAACCATTTTAATCGTTTGTTACGTCATTATAAGGAGGCTAGTGGCTGTTATCGTCTTTGGAATCATAGAACTAGGTAAAGCGGAATTGTAACTCAATTAATGATATAGTCATATTGAAACAGTCCAATTTCTGCGTCTAATAACCGGTTCTGAATGAAAGCTTTGACTACTGTTTCGGACACGGTGTCTGCTATCGGTACGGCTATAAGAGACCTCATGAGTTTGTCTGCACAGTGAAATAAGTAATTAAAACTATTAGGGTACAGTAAAGGACCTACCTAATCTACATGGACGTGGGTAAAACATGTACCTGGTTGTGAGGAAACTCCGATGGGTGAAAATCAATGATGGGTAGCTTCTGACTGTCGGCACATCAGATACTCTATGACCCAGTTAAGTACATCGTTTTGTAAATTTGGCCATATAAATCTAATATTCATTAAATTGGTAGCAGATTTGAAGCTGAGACAAGGTATCCTAGTTATTACTTGGTAATATCTCACATATTTTTGGGGATAAGGGGTCAAGGTATCACCCTGGTCGCTCTACAAAAGATAAAAACACAACGAGATGATGATGTTAGCTGTATTAGCTTGGAACTAGGGCTCTTCTCTGAGAGTATATTTGTGGTGGTATTAGTCCTAACAACACAATCCTCAAAATTGAACATGAGATAACATAGAAAATGCATATTCAACAATTAACACTAAGAGCAGGTCAACAGTAGAGAACGTGGTACTATTCAATTCAATAAAATCAGATGGTATAGCTCAGCCTTGCAGGCGTGGTCATTCTGTATAACTTGCCTTTACTCACATTAAGTATATCATTCTATATTTAGCCCAAATGTGTTCTTTACAAACACCAAACGTTATATCGCGGGCTGTTACTATATGACGAGTCAGAATAGACACTGAGTTAACTTCCACGTATGATCTTATAGACTAGGTAGTCACATTATGACAAATCCACAATTTTAGAACTAGGTCTGTTATTATAGCAGTACCAATAGAGAAGTAGACTATAATTCGACAGACCCATCATCTCACGACTCGAAATGGTGTACCGTCGTAAATTCTCAGGATTCCAAATTAGGTCGCGAACTTCCTTAGAAGCTGAGGAAGGAATCACAGGGCATAAATCTTGGTGTTGAATGGGCCTAGCGATGTTATGCTCCGGCTGAGCAGACTACAATTCAGGACCACCACGATCAAATTTTTTGAGTGGGTTTCCTCAGTCATAACAGTGTCTATCTCTAGAGATTAAGACTATGCTTACCTTTCCGGTTCTCAGTTTGTATTAGGCTTGATATTTATTAGCATACAACAAGTATCTTGAAGAAATATAAAGGGGTGAAAAAATAATTTAACTGTGAAAATTTTCCACAAAAATATATCTTATGCTAATGGCGAAGAAGACAATCTTGCTAATCTATCAGAAGGTTATACAGCTTGTGAGCCGCGGTATGTGTATAAACGAATGATTCTTTTGTGCTTGATGTGTTCTTGACTTTGAATTAAAAATACAATACGTTCGTTCGTGTTCACTTAGTTCTACCTAACTTAGATCACGTTATTTCGAGAATTCTCAGTTCGTATAGTAATTCGATTACTTTTAATCATCACATGAGCATATAAACACAAACTTTACATTCAAAAGAAAGACTTTCATACTATTGGACTTGTATCTACCCGTTTTTGGAATACATTGGAGTGATTGTAGTAGGTTGGTTACATAATTCCTGGAACACGTGGAACAGGATGTCTGATTTTAAATACAATGACCTTTCAGCATTCAGTATAGAACAAGAGAAAATATAACGTCAATACAAAATTCGGGCGTTACTAACCTTCTTATCTATAATTTTTCAGTCCTTATAGGAGGTTGCCAGTGAACTCTCAATCATCCAACTTAGACTTATGCATACATGCAGCTACCGCTGACTATTAGGACTTAAGTGCTCGGCATCAGCGTCAAGCGGTTGCATCATCACTTAGAGTGGTAAAAAAACCCAAAATGAATAGTTTCATAGGTGTTTGGCATTGATGCTGACCTTTTGAGTCTCACTGGACACACTCTAGCTCAGAGCGCTCGGTCACGCATCGGCACCAAATCACAAATGGGTACGCTGAGTTGCTCATTTCTCTCAGATACTAGCCAGCCAAGATCAAACGTTCTCCAACATATTGATAAGTTTCCAAGTATGCCTTCAAACTATTTCATTGCTGACTTGCGATTTGACTGTGTCGGTATCTCTTGATTATTTAGGCATTATGTGCAAAGGCACTACCAAGCTCTAAATATTTGTAGTGTCTCTACACGTATCTTGGAGAGCTGTCTATTAATAAGAATGGACATTCAGGTAACAACCAATACTCTAATTTTTAACTGGGAGCCGAAGGTGGAGAATGTTATATTCGAGTCATATATTTTTAATATAATAAAATCTGAAAGAGGAAGTTTTTGTCTGTCGAAGAATGCTACATAGAAACGATCTGTACATAACAACTTCAAGTTGGGAGAGATAGATGTTTTTCAGAGAACGTCAAATTCATCCTCGAAGTCTGTGCCTCTCTCCCAGTGTCAAGGACGAAACAAGCAAAAACTTTAAGATTCTTTGGTAATCACCATTTATCAAAACATTCTGAATATTTTTCTACAAGATTTCATCAACACTTTGAAAATGTGATGATGGTTTATAATTTTCCCTTAATAAAAGAGCCTTTCACATTTTACGAAACCGTATTCGGTGGCGGTCTTTTGTTTTCTGCTGTTCGGTCGTACTTCGGGCCAGCAGAAGTAACATGACAGTTACCTGTTCTGAGAGGGATGGTGTCGTTGCCGACCTCCGTTTAGCGGATTCCTTTTATTCGAAATATGAGGTTCGTGATGTCTTGGGTTCAGGGGCTAGTAGTACTGTGCGACGTTGCATAGAAAAAGACTCTAAAACCGAATACGCTGTTAAAATTTTAGATCTAAATAGTGGTGTTGATACCTCAGAAGTTATACATTCAGAATGTATGCGAGAAGTGACTATTCTTAGAAAAGTAGTCGATCACCCCAATATCATAAAAATTCATGATGTTTTCGAAGGTGATGCATACATATTTCTAGTCTCAGAAATGTAAGTTTCAACTTTCACTTTCATGTCTTTAGTTGTCAGGGTGGTGAACTTTTCGACTATCTAACCCACAACGTCATCATTTCCGAAAAACGTACTCGTGTAATCATGCGGCAGCTATTCGATGCTGTTAATTATATCCACGAGCGTCAAATTGTCCATCGAGATCTTAAGCCGGAAAACATTCTTCTTGATGAAAATCTTAACATAAAAGTTACGGACTTTGGGTTGGCTGTGTTTGTTGACAATGAAGAAGAGCTTAAAGGTACTTTTATCGCTTTGAAAGTTGCAATTGAGTCAAAATTACAAATTTTTTCTCCAGTTATTGACTTCTGACCTTAATGATAACAGTCGTGTACAATTCAGGGACAATATATATATATATATATATTCAGGAAAGCCAGTTTGCAAATCTTACTATTTGCTGCTGACCGCCATGAAACCTGGGAAAAGTAGCTACTGTAGTATATTCTTATTCCGTTATGTTAAACAACCAATCTTAAAGTTTAATTTGAAGACTGCGCTTCACCTACTGAAGTTTAGGCAGTCTAATAGTGTTAACCCTTAACTGGAAGAATAGATTCATATTATTTTACTCAGGGTTTCTCCTGACTTTTTTCCTAGTTTAAAACTAGCCGACACTCTTTAGAAGACTAACCTACAATTCTAAGCAATCTGTTATTTTCTGTAAGGTCCAAACTCATCACCAAGCCTGGTTAGTGTTTCCACCAAACTAAATTCGATGTAATCCTTATCAATTCCTTAAAGCTGACCGATTTATCTTTTCAATTTGCAGTATCGTCTGAATAACTCAGCGGTAACGTCTTGGGCTGGGTTTCAACCGGTCAGTCAGTCAGTCGTGTCTAACGCAAAACCTGATACATGTTCACCCATCAGGTTTCTGCACCTCATTGACTGGATGTGCATTTTCAGTTTCACACATCATGGGTGAATAGCATCGTGACCGGAAATTCATAAGTTTGGTCCCATATAAGGTCGTTAAACCAAGCAGTGGAAGAGACTCACATTACTGCGAGACAACTGCCTTTGATTCTGGTTTTCGACAGTCCTGTAGCTAATGTTGGTACCTGAAGAGATCATTTTAAAAGAAATAAATCGTTGTTTTGTAACCACTAATTTGATGATAAGTACTATGAATGTGAGTTACACTTCGGGTGTTACACAGATTCTTCCGTAAAATTGCATTAAAGCTCATCCAGTTGTTGCTAGGTATTTTTACCATTTTATTGTTTACATCTTTTTTATTGCCAACGTTTGAGGCTTATGACTGACAACTCATTGAACGTACATTTATTAGCAATTAAGAATAGTTTCGGATACCAATTAATTCTTTCGCTTAGGTCTCCCTAGTCAATATTGGATTTTACAGACTTAAACCTCAGAAAATGTTCATTGATATACATCTATCATTTAGCTAGATCAGATAATAAGCTGAGTAGTAGATCTTTATCGCTAACTTGCCTAATTCTCGGTTTAACTCCATAAAAATAGAATGCACTGCCGAAATCGTTTATCTGGATTTTATGGCTGTATGGTTATGAAGTTCTAAGCGTTTCTCGTTGGCAATACGGCCTCACCGTTTAGTTTTAAATAAATTTTTACTTACCTATTAGAAACTCGTGGAACACCAGGTTACTTGGCTCCAGAGGTCCTGATGTGTGGTTACTATGAAGATCAACCTTCGTATGGTCAGCCTGTAGACATCTGGGCATGTGGTGTGATTATGTATACTCTGTTAGCAGGTTGTCCCCCTTTTTGGAATCGTAAGGAACATTTAATGTTGCGTCAGATTATGGAAGGCCGTTTCTCTTTTCCTAGTCCAGAATGGGATGATATCAGTGAATCTGCAAAGGATCTAGTGAGTTGTTCTATGAACGTCTTTATCTTTTATTTATTATATACAAACATCATACTGAAGATATCGTAAATGGTCTGATTAGTGGAGTATATTTTATTGAAATACAATTTAGTATTGTGCTTAGTAAATTTTCGTCAGTTTTTTATGAGTTGTTTGCCTTATCATATTCTTGTAAGTATTAATATACATTACCTTCAATTTGTAGCCTTATTAGAAAAAAACACATTGAAGTCCTATATATTTTACACAAAAGAAACATTCTTTATCCAATGCTAAGTCCACTATTTCAAATATTTTGTTGGATTCAAACATTGTACCTTTTAATAAATGCACGTAGTTAGAAAACTGAGTTTTTCAGCAATAAACTGCATGTTCAAGTCTCGCTATATCTTTTATTTATTTTATTTAAACACATATATATTGGTACAAAAGGGCACCAGGTACATATGCGCCACACAAAATAATGAAAGTAGGTAGATAAAGGATGAAAAGATAAGGCGGGCTGAAATGTACAACCAGAAGATTCTTTCAGTTAGGAAAGTTAGAACCATTCTTTATGTAGAAAGTAAAAGAAGGTTGCAGCAGGATCGCCACTGGCTTCTATTCTGAGCCATATCCGATAACGTCTCTAGCCACTGTGTTGCACTATCTCTCGGACCCCAACCAGGGAGTCGTGAAGGACCAACGGAAGCTAGCCCTTTGCAGCTCTCTTTCATGCCACGACACCATGTCATACACTGACCTCCTCTCCGCTTTCTCCAACCAGTCCCAGGGTCGGCAAATAATGCACGGTGTGGAAGTCTCTGGGGCGACATTCGTAAAACATGTCCAAGCCACCGAAGTCGGTGTTTCGAGATGGTGACACCAATTGAATTATCGTCTCTGCGCCCGAACACACGATGCCGAACCTCTGCATTACTAACATGGTGTTGCCACTGGATGTCAGCAATCCTTCGGAGACAACGATGATCGAACACAGAGAGACGTCTAACATCCTCAACTCGGAGAGGCCAGGTTTCACAAGCATAGAGCAAAACTGCTCTCACCGACGCGTTGTAGATCCGACCTTTTACAGCCAGACTAACATCACGAAGGCGCCAAAGATGGCCCAGATTGGCATAAGCCGCTCTGGCTTTCATTATACGTGCATCAATCTCATCACTCACGCCACCACCAGCACTTACATAGCTACCTAGATACACGAACTTCTCAACTACTTCGATCTCCTCACCATCCAGGGTGAGTACAGGATGAGAATCCTGCCAGTCTTGTAGAAGTACTTTGCACTTGGAGGGTGCAAAGCACATGCCGTACCTGCGGACACTGATTGCCAACTGATTAAGTGCTGATTGCATGCCTTGGGTATTATCGCACAGTAAGACAATATCATCCGCATACTCGAGGTCGAGAAGTCGTTCTCCAGGCAACATATCCACACCGCCATTACTTACATCCATCAGAGCTGTTTCTAGGATGTCGTCGATGGCAAAGTTGAAGAGGAATGGGGAGATCGGGCAACCCTGCCTAACCCCACTGCTCGAATGGAACAAGGGAGAAAGGTGGTTGTATGCCCTCACTCTGCCTGAGGTGTTCGTATACAGGGCTTTTAAGATGTTAATGAACTTCTCAGGCACACCCTTCTTCAATAGACAATCCCAGAGAACAGTCCTGTCCAACGAATCGAAGGCAGCCCTGATATCAAGAAACACTACGATTGTTGGCCTGCGATAAGTATGACGGTGTTCTAACATTTGGCGGAGGGTGAAGATGTGATCAATGCATCCTCGACCAGAACGAAAACCAGCCTGCTCCTCGCGAGTCAATCGTTCTCGGGTTTTAAACAACCTACGAAGAATGATAGAAGCCAATAGTTTGGACGCGATCGAAAGTAGACTTATCCCCCGATAGTTGCTACAGGAACAACGTGAACCCTTTTTAAAGATAGGGACGACTATTGACTCATTCCAAAATGTTGGAACATTTTCTTGCTCCCAAACCTTTCCAAACAACGCAGTCAGTTCCTTAGCCAGAAAGTCACCACCATCTTTAAAAAGAGCCGGAGGTAAGTCATCTGGGCCAGGTGATTTGTAACGTTTCAAGAGTTGGAGTTCCTTGCGGACTTCCGCCTCGTTTGGTGGATCAGTCGTCACCGGCCATGGGGGGCAGGACAAGCTGGTTGATGTTGCCGGAGCAGCAGGCCAGTTGAACTGCCCTTCGAAAAATTCCGCCCATCGTCCAAGACGTCGACAGATGTTAGTGATTGGCATCCCGTCATCCTCGTAGATTGTTTCACTCACACCAGACTTCTTGCTGCCAGTGGCTCGGATGAGTTGGAAGAGCTTCCGGCAGTTACCAGATGCAGCTGCTGCTTCCATCTCATTAGCACGCTCCGACCACCAGGCTTCCCGGTCCTTACACAAGCTTTGCCCGATTTCATTACGTAACAGCCTTCGTTTGTGGTCAAACTCACGGTAACCCGGAGTAGACCGACGGGCTTCCATCAGTTGTAAGGAGCCAGAAGAAACCCAGTGCTTGTAAGCGGGACGTTTCGCGAAGCCGCAAGCGGCTTTACTCGCCATTTTCATGGCGTCATGAAGATGCAACCAATGCTTACCTATACTTTTCGGTGGGGTGGTAGCTAGCCTAGAGGCTAGCTCCGCTCGATACTTACTTGCAACAGAAGTTGCAGCCAGTTTAATAATATCAATCCGTTGGTGGTGGTCAATCCTTCGGCCACTGAAAAGTAAGGTGAGATTGGCGCAGACCAGGGCATGATCAGACTCCAGATAGGTACTCCAAAAGGAGCGGCAGTCTTGTACACAACCACGCCAGCGGTAGCTGATCGCGATGTGATCAATCTGAGTCCAGGCTTGGGATGCAGAGGGAGGACGCCAGGTGGCACACCGGCGATGACTGTGCCGGAAGTTAGTGCTGGCCAGAAACAGGTTGTGGTCTGTGCACAGTTGCAGCAAACGGTCCCCGTTATCTGTCCTGCGACCAACAAGTCCCCATCGGCCACCTAGACGACTCTCTTCTGTGCCTAGACGCCCGACCTGTGCATTCAAGTCTCCGGCTAGTACTACAATATCTGTCGAACGCGCTTTCTGGAGAAGAACTGTTAACTGATGGTAAAACTCATCCTTGATTGCATCCGTGCTGCAATCTGTCGGGGCATAGGCGGAGATGACGAAAAGACACCGTTTCTCACGCCGATTTCTTCTCACTTTGATGGAACTTTCTAATCTAACAGCACATAACCGACTGTTAATGGGGATCCAATCGATTAGTGCTGCCTCAGCTCTAGCGCTTAGTGCGACACGAACGCCAGCAAGACCAGACGAAGATGCCACAGGGTCCCCGGATAAGCGCACGTGGAACAAGCTTTTCGAGGCGACAGATGGAGAGCGGATTTGTAGTACTTCACTAGAGTCTTGAATACGGGTCTCGGATAGACAACAAACATCAACATTAAGACCTTCCAAAGACATAGCCAGCCCTATCTGTTGTCTGATCTGCATTAGTGTGCGAACGTTGAAGGAAGCCAGCTTGAACGGCGTACGTGGTTTCAGAAAGACTGCCTCAGTATTCATAATCGGTGGAAGCATTCACTTTCAACCAGACAGTGACTGGAGATCGTTTAGATAGGACAGGTTTTCCACCAAGAGCGAGCTGCTGCATAAGTTGAAGAGTAAGGTTACACAAATTGGGGATAAAAGAGGGTGAATTAGCGATATGGTAAGTAATAATAATAATAATAATAATAATAATAATAATAATAATAATAAAGGTAATAATAATAATAATGTTAATTGTTTTGCTTTTAGTATGACCAGGGATATCGTCAATAAAGTTCATAATTTCATTCATTTGTTTGTGTGTGGGCTGTGATACTGCCCGGGTGCCCAAACCGAAGCAGGTGGTTTTCTTAGGGGACCACACCCCGAGCCTTTGACCTAAAGGTCTGATCCACAAGGCAGTGGAGCATCGTGAGGAGATGCAGTCCCATGGTTGCCGTTGACCAACAGCAGGTTCTTCCGCCATTCGTTCCATCAGGATACTGGAGCCCATGTGCACCATTGGTTTGGAATCAGGGTTTTCCAACTCCCCTAGGTGGACCCTCCGTGTCCACCAATCCGGTTATAGCGCCGGACATTCGCTTTTCGTCCTCTCACTTTCGTAAACAACACCCCCACCACGAGAAGGCAGTGAGTAGGACTTCCCTGGCAGAGGCTATATATTCGCTGGCCATGTGAGAGCATTTCGAGAGAGAGAGAGTAGACTCTCCCCACTCTCGGCCGTACCAGGGCATTTGGGGGCTATATCTACTGTATCTTGAGCGACCGCGTGGTGTCTATTAGCTTAAATATTAAGTCAAGTGGTTTTTTGATGATTTCGTATGATTTGAGGGTCATTTTCATTACGAACTCAATTCATATAGTGAACCGTTAAAAATCGAGAAATAATAAATGAAGCTACTGCCCAATACTCTAAATAATGCACGTACCGTTACATGCATATCCATCTGCCCTGTTCCTCAATACAGTATAATGTTAAAAGAAAGCTGCAAGCGGCCAAATGAAAATATAGCACCAGTCCAGCAGGTCATTGACTGTTGGTCTTAGGTGTATTTGTAAGTGCAGACTAATTGTCTGTGGTCTACTTAATAGTCTTGATCAGTGGTCGAAGACATTGGATCAAATGTCTTGAAATCACTTGCATTTGCACAGACTCATAGATTCTTTATCTCTAAACCTCGAGCTTCAATATCATTTCATATTTTTTATTTTCACCTATTCATTTCTTGATGAACCATAATCTCGTTCCTTCCTTACCAAAATCAACGCTTCTGTTATTTCATCTTTCCTGTTTATTCCGTTAGTTTAATCTCACTGCCCTTATGTAGTGTAAAAAAGTTGAACCGATAAACGTTTGTGCCAAATCCTACATTGTTTATGATTGACTATTACAATTTTGATCTCACTAAGCTAGGGATGGCAAATCGATTGATGAAGTAGTGAAACTTCATCAGTTGAGATGGCTGGGACATGTGTTACGTATGCCCGACCACCGACTGCCCCGACGTGCAATGTTTCATGGTGTAGGAGTAGGTTGGAAGAAAGCTATGGGCGGCCAGACCAAAACGTGGCACAAATCCATGAAGTCACTGACAAGTGGACTGGGCCACGTTGGTAGGTGTAGACTACCTGGTTGGGATTCGCGAGATGACAGCAACCGATGGTTAGAGACCTTGAATGACATGGCTCAAAATCGTTTGCAATGGCGAAGATGCATCCACTCTTTGTGTTCCACCAAATTCTAATCTTCTGAATTCCTCATGTCTTTATGTTTTTCTCTTTCCAAATTTATTTCACTGTACTATACTCCTTCAATAATTTCTTCAAACCCTAATCTTTTGGATTTCTGATTATACTCCTACTACTTCCACCACTATGGGATTTGAATCGACAACTGCATCTCTGTGCTAATGTGGTATGGCAACTCGAACTGATGTACGTACGTACGAAGTTCTACGTTGTGACTGACTGACTGACACTAAGCTAGTATACTTAACATTATACATAATGTTTGTTGTTGACATTTTTGATTAACATTACTAGCTTACTTTCGTTGTTATCTATTTTTTCATATTTCTTGTTTTTACAAATAGATATGTAAAATTCTAGTTGTGGATTCTAAAGTAAGGTTGACAGCTTTGGATTCATTGAGTCATGTGTTCTTCCTACAACAAGTATGTTGATTTAGCATTTTGATTTAAATTTTCAGGATATTTATCCTTCGAATATTTATTGCGTAATCATTTTCTGAACAGCAAAAATTTTTGAACACTTTGATTATTATTCCTTTAGAATGTATGGGCTGCCAACATTTAGTCTTAAGTTCCTTACATGTATCATCTGCATGTAGTTGGACCACTTAAGTAGTAACGTTGCGATCAAGCACAGATTGAAACCGCGTCCCACCTACCTCAGTTTACGCGACCGGGTAGTATCACTTACTTTCACACTTGGAGTGTAGCTCAAGGCCAAATACACGACTCGTAAATAAGTTTTTAATAATGAAGAAAGTCCCTACAAAAATATGTTAGGCAGATAAATGTTTCCGTATTTTAAATGGATGCATATTTACTTAAGAAAATTTTATTCGAAGCATATGCTAGTAATTTTCTCATTTATTTTATATTTGTTTCAGCCTATAGTTGGCAAGACAGTCTTCAATGCTAGACAGAAATTTAAGGTGAGACTTGAGAATAAGTGTTTATTATCCTATTTTGTATTATGCAAACAAATTACGATTGTTTGTCAGACTCCAGTCAGGAAGAGTTTACGTCCCTAATACACCTCAGTTAATGACTTCATAGATTGATTGTGTATTTAAGTCTGACAACTCTCGGTTCTCTTTCCAGTCCATTCCTATGTTAGCCAGCCTTTGCTTGTACTGTTGATGGTGATTAGGACAAATCTAACGTGTTCCAGTCACATCGGTTAAGGAAGATCTGTAGTCTTATCAGTAGATTTACCATTTTTATCCAAAACTCCTTTTGAACTTAACAGAATTTGCTTGGTGGTTTTATCATCCTTAAGGGGATGCTTCGACGATTCCTATAGTGAGATATTTTCAAAATACACAGATTTTTACTTCTCCAAGATATTTTTTCACAACCCTAAACTTACAGTGGAAAAATCTGCTGTCTAGTATATTTATTTTTCGATCGACCGAAAAACATGATATATACTACAACTGGCGTAGGTTTCTGTAGTAGCATTAATATAATTCATTTAGCAGGTAAAAGTGAAAGTACTCGACTTTAAGTCACGCTTTAGGCTTAGAGGGCTAGTAATACTATCCAGTTATCAAAACATAAGAATGTAGAGTGGAGTGGAATGCAGTTCGAACCTTAGAACAACCGATTCAAAGTTTAGTGTTTTACTCACTAAACTACTGAGATTTCAATCAACTAGCCTACTAGGACTAGTGAAATCTCAGTTTTTAATCAGATTGGGTTTATTTCCCGGAAATATATTGGGTTTCTGACTATATAAGATATGCAACTGAACTACTCAGTACTGTTTTGATTCAAATATGTAAATAAGCATGATTTTGTATTCGAGATCATTTATTATTCAGTGAGTAATTTATCCATTAACGCTCTTTGTATTATATTCTTTATCGAAATTCCGTATCAATCAAAATTATTTATATGTGACTGTATTTTATTTTATTTAAACACATATATATTGGTACAAAAGGGCACCAGATACATATGCGCCACACAAAATAATGAAGGTAGGAAGAAAAGGGATGAAAAGATAAGGCGGACTGAAACGTACAACCAGAAGACTCTTTCAGTTAAGAAAGTTAGAACCACTCTTTATGAAGAAAGTAAAAGAAGGTTGCAGCAGGATCGCCACTGGCTTCTATTCTGAGCCATATCTGATAACGTCTCTAGCCACTGTGTTGCACCATCTCTCGGACCCCAGCCAGGGAGTTGTGAAGGACCAACAGAAGCTAGCCCTTTTCAGCTTTCTTTCATGCCACGACACCATGTCATACACTGACCTCCTCTCCGCTTTTTCCAACCAGTCCCAGGGTCGGCAAATAATGCACGGTGTGGAAGTCTCTGGGACGACATTCGTAAAACATGTCCAAGCCACCGAAGTCGGTGTTTCGAGATGGTGACACCAATTGAATTATCGTCTCTGCGCCCGAACACACGATGCCGAACCTCTGCATTACTAACATGGTGTTGCCACTGGATGTCAGCAATCCTTCGGAGACAACGATGATCGAACACAGAGAGACGTCTAACATTCTCAACTTGGAGAGGCCAGGTTTCACAAGCATAGAGCAAAACTGCTCTCACCGACGCGTTGTAAATCCGACCTTTTACAGCCAGACCAACATCACAAGGCGCCAAGGATGGCCCAGATTGGCATAAGCCGCTCTGGCTTTCCTTATACGTGCATCAATCTCATCACTCACGCCACCATCAGCACTTATATAGCTACCTAGATACACGAACTTCTCAACTACTTCAATCTGCTCACCATCGAGGGTGAGTACAGGACGAGAATCCTGCCAGTCTTGTAGGATTACTTTGCATTTGGAGGGTGCAAAGCACATGCCATACCTGCGGACACTGATTGCCAACTGATTAAGTGCGGATTGCATGCCTTGGGTATTATCGCACAGTAAGACAATATCATCCGCATACTCGAGGTCGAGAAGTCGTTCTCCAGGCAACATATCCACACCGGCATTACTTACATCCATCAGAGCTGTTTCCAGGATGTCATCGATAGCAAAGTTGAAGAGGAATGGTGAGATCGTGCAACCCTGTCTAATTCCACTGCTCGAATGAAACAAGGGAGAAAGATGATTGTATGCCCTCACTCTGCCTGAGGTGTTCGTATACAGAGCCTTTAAGATGTTAGTGAACTTCTCAGGCACACCCTTCTTCAATAGACAATCCCAGAGAACAGTCCTGTCCAACGAATCGAAGGCCGCCCAGATATCAAGAAACACTACGATTGTTGGCCTGCGATAAGTATGACGGTGTTCTAACATTTGGCGGAGGGTGAAGATGTGATCAATGCATCCTCGACCAGAACGAAAACCAGCCTGCTCCTCGCGAGTCAATCGTTCTCGGGATTTAAACAACCTACGAAGAATGACAGAAGCCAATAGTCTGGACGCAATCGGAAGTAGACTTATCCCCCGATAGTTGTTACAGGAACAACGTGAACCCTTTTTATAGATAGGGACGACTATTGACTCATTCCAAGATGTTGGAACACTTTCTTGCTCTCAAACCTTTGCAAACAACATAATCAATTCCTTATTCAGAAAGTCACCACCATCTTTAAAAAGAGCCGGAGGTAAGTCATCTGGGTCAGGTGATTTGTAGCGCTTCAAGAGTTGGAGTTCCTTGCGGACTTCCGCCTCGTTTGGTGGATCAGTCGTCACCGGCCATGGGGGGCAGGACAAGCTGGTTGATGTTGCCGGAGCAGCAGGCCAGTTGAACTGCCCTTCGAAAAATTCCGCCCATCGTCCAAGACGTCGACAGATGTTAGTGATTGGCATCCCGTCATCCTCGTAGATTGTTTCACTCACACCAGACTTCTTGCTGCCAGTGGCTCGGATGGGTTGGAAGAGCTTCCAGCAGTTACCAGATGCAGCTGCTGCTTCCATCTCATTAGCACGCTCCGACCACCAGGTTTCTCGGTCCTTACACAAGCTTTGCCCGATTTCACTACGTAACAGCCTTCGTTTGTGGTCAAACTCACGGTCACCCGGAGTAGACCGACGGGCTTCCATCAGTTGTAAGGAGCCAGAAGAAACCCAGTGCTTGTAAGCGGGACGTTTCGCGAAGCCGCAAGCGGCTTCATGGCGTCGTGAAGATGCAACCAATGCTCATCTATACTTTTCGGTGGGGTGGTAGCTAGCCTTGAGGCTAGCTCCGCTCGATACTTACTTGCAACAGAAGTTGCAGCCAGTTTACTAACGTCAATCCGTTGGTGGTGGTCAATCCTCCGGCCACTGAAAAGTAAGGTGAGATTGGCGCAGACCAGGGCATGATCAGACTCCCGATAGGTTCTCCAAAAGGAGCGGCAGTCTTGTACACAACCACGCCAGCGGTAGCTGATCGCGATGTGATCAATCTGAGTCCAGGCTTGAGATGCAGAGGGAGGACGCCAGGTGGCACACCGGCGATGACTGTGCCGGAAGTTAGTGCTAGCCAGAAACAGGTTGTAGTCTGTGCACAGTTGCAGCAAACGGTCCCCGTTATCTGTCCTGCGACCAACAAGTCCCCATCGGCCACCTAGACGACTCTCTTCTGTGCCTAGACGCCCGACCTGTGCATTCAAGTCTCCGGCTAGTACTACAATATCTGTCGAACGCGCTTTCTGGAGAAGAACTGTTAACTGATGGTAAAACTCATCCTTGATTGCATCCGTGCTGCAATCTGTCGGGGCATAGGCGGAGATGACGAAAAGACACCGTTTCTCACGCCGATTTCTTCTCACTTTGATGGAACTTTCTAATCTAACAGCACATAACCGACTGTTAATGGGGATCCAATCGATTAGTGCTGCCTCAGCTCTAGCGCTTAGTGCGACACGAACGCCAGCAAGACCAGACGAAGATGCCACAGGGTCCCCGGATAAGCGCACGTGAAACAAGCTTTTCGAAGCGACAGATGGAGAACGAATTTGTAGTACTTCACTAGAGTCTTGAATACGGGTCTCGGATAGACAACAAACATCAACATTAAGACTTTCTAAAGACATAGCCAGCCCCATCTGTTTTCCCATCTGCATTAGTGTGCGAACGTTGAAGGAAGCCAGCTTGAACGGCGTACGTGGTTTCAGAAAGACTGTTTCAGTATTCGTAATCGGTAGAAGCATTCACTTTCAACCAGACAGTGACTGGAGATCGTTTAGATAGGACAGAGTTTCCACCATGGGCGAGCTACTGCATAAATTGGAAAGGAAGGATACACAATTTGGGAATAAAGGGAGTGAAAAAGTAGTAATAATAATAATAATAATGTAAATTGTCTTGCTTCTAATATGAGCGAGAATAGTATCGTCAATAGAATTCATCATTTAATTTATTTGTGTGTGGGCTGTGATATTGCCCGGGTGCCCAAACCGAAGCAGGTGGTTTTCTTAGGGGGCCACACCCCGAGCCTTTGACTTGAAGGTCCAATCCACAAGGCAGTGGAGTAACTTAAGGAGATGCAGTCCCACGGTGGCCGGTGACCAACAATTGGTCCACACACCATTATTACCCTGAAGGTACTGGAACCCATGTGCACCATTGGTTTGGAATCAGAGTTTTCCAACTCCCCTAGGTGGATCCTCCATATCCACCAATCCAGTTAAGGTACTGGACGTTCGATTTTTGTCCTCTCAACTTCGTGAACAACAATAATGTCACGAGAAGGCAGTGAGTAGAACTTCTCTGGGAGTGGTTGTATACGGGTGGCTGCGTAAGAGCAGACTCTCCCCACCAACAGTCGTACCAGAGCATATGGGGCCATTCAACAAACCTTGTTTTTTTCCATTCTGATACTTGAATTTTTTAAAATAAAATTACCACAATCTATAAATTATTTTAATTAGTTAATTAAAGATAATGAATAATCACAAAACTGTTATCTCTTTTTCTTCTTATCAACTATAAAGACTGGTATGTTGGCTGTCAGTTTTATATTTTATCTACGACGTTTAAAAATGAACGCTGCCTATTTAAATATCAATCAATTATCTATGGATCCATATTCAAATAAGAAATTACGTAAAATTATTGATACACTTGCCTATGATGTTTATAGTCAATGGGTTAAAAAAGGTGAAGAACAAAATCGTGCTGAATTATTTGAAAATATACCACGTCGTGATATGATTGATACACCAGATGGATTATTTCATAATAGTCCAAAACGTTCATTATTAACCGATGATTCTATGAATTATACACCTTTTAATTTTGAAGATGAAGATGATGATGAAGATATTAGGATACCGATTAGAATTGATTATTAATGAATCCTTTGTTATAATCTGTAGTTTAAATTTAGCTTCCCTACCTCCCCCCTCAAATATATATATATATATATATATATATATATATATATATAACTCGGTGCAATAAAACAAATAGGCCTTACATGTTTTAACAACGAATACTTTCATGTATGCAAAACCTACTAATTATTATTCAGAATGAAACTTCCTTCTTGGAGTATATATATATCTCTATTTTTTCTCATTTATTTGACAATGTATAAAAGAAGTTATTTTTATTCTATCCTTTTTATCTTTCATTTTCATATTCTCATCCTAGTTGTATCATTATTTAGTCAGGTTGTAATAATCCTTGTTTACTAGTTTACTCCTTTCGTTCGAATCCTCCGTTTGTTTGTTTGTTGTTGTTTTAAAGGAAGAGCAATCATTCATTTATCATCATTTTTCAACTCATTAATAACTTTATTTCTTTAAAAGAACAGTTAGTCCTTTTTTTAATGAATTTTGATTGAGCACAATAAAAAGATTGAAGTTGATCTGAATGATGTAATATGTTTACACCATACATTTCGAATAATCTGATTAATATGTGTATATATACTTGTCAAGCCATTTACGCACAATTAAGGTTGATTAAATAAAAGTTCAAATAGACATAATGATAATGATGCTCATGGGCACCAGGACCCGGAGGGAACAAATGGCGTATGAATCAATCGTTGGTCACCGGTTACCATGGGACTGCATCTCCTTATGATGCTCCACTGCCTTATGGATCAGATCTTTAGGTCAAAGGCTCCCCTAAGAAAACCATCTGCCTTAGTTTGGGCATCCGGACAGTATCACAGCCCTCACACAAATCAAATGAGATTTGTGTGGCGCATATGTATCTGGTGCCCCTTTGTACCAATACTTATGTGTTCAAATGATTAACATAATATGGTAAGAATAAGAACTAGTCACACCATTCTAGACCATAAAATAGCTTGACAACTACTAGTGTGTAGTCAAAATTATGGCAAATTTTTTTCTGTAGACATAAAGGGGGTTTGAATTTGTGAATATTCAACGCTTCTCCATGGTGTAAATACATATTTCTCACTGTCCTATCAAAGTTACAATTGCTATCAGAAACATCCTATATTATGAAATACTTGTCCAATTAACTGGGTGAATGGATCGAAGTGGTCGAACCAATACGTAACTTCATTCCTTAATATCACTGGCTGTTGGACTTAGTCGTGTTGGTGGGTAAAGATCTTTCGGTTGGGGTCCGCTCAATTATCAGAACCTATAGTTGAAGACTAGGTGAAATGGCTTTAAGTTAATCACGATGGAGCAGATGTATTCAATCTGTGTATTCCTTAGTTTTAAAATTATTCTGTTGCATGAATTCATTCTTGGACCACATCGTCTATGCCTGCTGTTTACCATTTCACTGGTACTGTTACTACTTCCGTGATTTCGGGATTTTTCTAGATAATTTCACCTCTCTATGATAAAATGATATGGGATCGTAAATTAATGCACATATTTACTAAGTTCAACGTTCTGTATGGTTTTTTGAAAGGGATTGCATTGTGTTTTGAAACTAGAACTTTGTGTGTCTCAGCTCACTAGCACCTCAGTAGAATTAAGAGTCTTCCTTTTCTGTTAAAATATTTTCTTGTGGATGTAGGTTTGTAACCATATTCTAGAAAGGTAATGCTCACTGGTTTTTTGCGTAGTATATTGACAGAGTTGATAAAACAAAGTTACCAATCATAATACAAATCCGTTTCCTGATGTTGCTTCTCTGCTTTGCAGATTGAGTGTTGGCATTAAATGTGAGTAGGGGTTGTAAAAAAGTTCATCCTAATTGATTTTAGGTGTTTTAACACACTAAAACTCTTACAAAGGTTAATAATCAGATTGTGCAGTGGGGATTACAAACTTAGCACTGGTAATGGATTCTTAATCTACTGATACAAATGGCATATAATGTGTGCGAATTCGATGAGTTCTATCCGGTTGTAGTATTGTTAATCAGTAAAACAACAACTGTTAGATGATCTCTCAAACATATATATATGACTGGTCCAATTCCAATTAACGTAAAGAAAAATTGACTTTCAAAACAGGTACAGTAAACTGCGATCATCCTAATATCTCTTGGATGAAATTAATAACATAAATCCAACGTTGTTAGAATTTTACAGATACATGTTTGGTTTTTATTTCATTCCAAACGTTACCTTTGATAACAAAGAATGTGTTAAATGCAGGGTAAACGACGTCAATTTTTCCAAAGAATCCTTAGACATTTGTTTGTTTTAGTCAAAGAAGTTTTTATGACTACAACACTATAAATGTCTCCAGCTGGTTGGACATAATTTTACCCAAGGGTTTTTAATTAATCTCTTGAGAAGGATATCAATAACGAGTAAACATAATATCTTACTACTATTAATAATAAGAAATGCCATACAAATTAAACTAGTTGGTGCCTATCTGAACTCAGTAGCTTAATGGAGTTATGTACTGGACTCAATTTTCATCGTGGATATTGACACTGGGTTGTGGGTATATTCGGCTGATAAGTCACAAAAGAGGAGAAATGCATTTACTAAATTCCATGATTAGCCATTATCTAGAAATATACTGAAATAAATAACGATTAGATGACAGTAAGTTATAGACATAAATATAACATTCATATGACTTTAAAGACAGTTCAGTATCATTAACACGTTCAAGATACAACATAAATTATGAAGTGAATATTCTTCGTAAAGAGTATATGGTTATGTGGTACTAGATAGATTAAGCGCTCCCTCCCTGGTTCCAAACTAATGGTGCACATGGGCTCCACTGTCCTGAAGGAACAAATGGCGTATGAACCAATTGTCGGTCATCGGCTGCCATGGGATTGCATCTCCTCACGATGCTCCACTGTCTTGTGGATCAGATCTTTAGGTCAAAGGCTCCGGGCTTAGCCCCTTAAGAAAACCATCTGCCTTAGTTTGGGCACCCGGACAGTATCACAGCCCTCACACAAATCAAATGAGATTTGTGTGGCGCATATGTATCTGGTGCCCCTTTGTACCAATATTTATGTGTTTAAGTAAATAAGATAGATTAAGCAGCCTTACTACGTATTCTACAATAAACACTGACCACTTAAATTTAAACTGATGAAGCTTAATTTACGTATCTTCACAGGACCAAAGTCATATGAATCTAGAATTTAAGTTTCAGGAAATTTAAGTGTCACTAAGAAAAACGTTCATATTCTAGCTGATAAATTGTATATAGTTATAATAGAGAAGAATACAGTTTCCAAGGTCGTGTGTAAAACTGTTTTTACTGTACAATAATGAATGATTAGTATAACTATCGGTTATCGACTTTTCCAACTTGTATACAGTTTCTAATAAACCATTTTGATTGACATATTAGAGTTATTAACAAATACCTAACATTCTGTTTATGATAAGTGGACTTGTTTATCAAGTTTATTGAGTGTTTTAAGTTATCGATGCATAATAAACGAATCAGTATAAAATTAATAATTAGGATGGATTACTATTGACTGAACTAATCAGTTTTGACACTTGATGAATAGAAGTGTCAGAAATGACGTTGGATAAGTCTAGGACTTTAATGAAATCATGAACCGACTTAAGTCTAACAACCTGGGTGCCTGTTTCGTCTTTATATAGGGCTGCTCGACAATGAGCATCCACAACCACGCGCGCGGAACCGGTCCTGAGCTCGAGTCTTGTTTAAGCAATGCCAAGGAGCCTTATACTAACACGAAACTCCCGTCCCGTGCTTCCAGGCTGTCAAACTTAGACCGGCCCTTAATTTTAATAAAATCCAACAACCTAGACAAGTCGATACTAACAAGTCTGGGATGTTCAGTTTTGAAGGCTAGTGAAAAACAGAACACCGGTATTTTAATATTAACAGTTGTTTCATTCATCTCCTATGAAAGTTTTGGATAGAGTGAATGAGTTATTAATGAATACTCAACGGTTTACCAGGACAAAACAGATAGACGAAAGAAAAAACGGGTTGAGTAAAACGCCACATTTCTTGAATTAACAATGCTTACAACTTTGTGGATAGTAATAACAAACTAAGCAGTGGAAATGTGAATGATAAAATTGATCAAGTAAACAGTCTACTTACTAGTTATACCTCAACCATGCACATACTTGATTTACCTTACAAACTTTGTACATTCTGTTACGTCCGAGAAAATGCTTAACTGGCTTGTGCTTGGCACAGAAACTCGAGTCCAACTACGTGCGAGGAAAACATAAGATTAGTAATGCAGATTTATTTGACCCTATAAATAAATTAGGTCATTGCTTGTTATATCACATTTTGTAATATAACAAGTCTTGTATGATTTCTTTGGTGTACCATAATATTGTAGATACTTTATGGTTACATATTAATCAGTTGAAGACTATTTAGTTGTCCTGTTTAACTTAAAGATCACTAAGAAATGCTCCACATGGTTACTTTGAAACATTTTCGAATCTGTGAAGGGTAACAAATGACTTTTACGCCTCGATGAACGAACTAAAGGTGAGTCTCGAAGATAGAGTATATACATTCTCAAGGATACTTAAGTTTATTTGTGTTTGAAGTCTCGAGTAACGGGGTAAGACAATTGTTAAGTATGGACCATGGAACAAAGCAGAAGAGAGTTAGCGAAATCAACACTAAGGAGAACAAAGAAAAAGATGTGATTCAGTGATAAGAAATTCATGCATCTCACAAAGTATGCGACTCAACAACACTTACTGGTAATACACCTCGAGAAATCGGATGTTTCAGATAAGCAAGGCAAGGATAAAGTCTGAGAATCAGGGCTTACTTTTACTTAAATGGCTATCGAGTGACCTACGAAACTCATATTACCCAATCTCTTGTATTTCAAAAGATTTCTGATTACGTTTATTTTTATGTCCAGCACTTTGTCATATAAGCGTCATTTGAATAAAATAAAGAACTTACTCTAGGACTCACTTTAGAACTTCTCTTAATAATTTAGTAAAGTGAATAGTGAAGAATTGGCCACACCTTATCAACTATAGTATCAGAGCAATATTTTCTAAACATAAAAAATTTTATTGTCAAAAATACTAAAACTCTCCTCCGTAACAACTTCTTTGAAATACGAGGAAGGGTAACTGAACTATTAGAGTGAAAGTCAATTTATTAGACATTAATTTATCTAGCTCTCGCCAACTTGCGTCATTTATGGCGTAGGCGAGATATCCGTCTAGCAACCAAAGGACGAGTTTACTGCTCAGTAGTTCATTCCGTCCTACTTTATGGCAGTGAAACATGGCCGATAAGAGTAGAGGATATTCGTAGGCTACTAGCATTCGATCATCGGTGTCTTCGAAGCATTGCTCGTATATCCTGGGACCACCGAGTAAGTAATGCAGTTGTTAGGAAACAGGTACTAGGTAAGGATGGCAAATCGATTGATGAAGTAGTGAAACATCATCAGTTGAGATGGCTGGGACACGTGTTACGTATGCCCAAACACCGACTGCCCCGACGTGCAATGTTCTATGGTGTAGGAGTAGGTTGGAAGAAAGCTAGGGGTGGCCAGACCAAAACGTGGCACAAATCAATGAAGTCACTGACAAGTGGACTGGGCCATGTTGGTAGGTGTAGACTACCTGGTTGGGATTAGCGAGATGACAGCAACCGATGGTTAGAGACCTTGAATGACATGGCTCAAAATCGTTTGCAATGGCGAAGGGGCATCCACTCTTTGTGTTCTACCAAATTCTAATCCTTTGAATTCTTCACTTCTCTTTTCAAAATTGTTTCACTGGATTATACTCCTTCAATGACATCTTCAAACCCTAATCTTTCGGATTACTGCTTATACTCTTACTACTTCTACCACTAAGGGGTTTGAATCGAAAACTGCATCTCTGTGTTAATGTGGTATGGCAACTCGAACTGATGTACGTAAGTACGTATGAAGTTCTACGTTGTGACTGACTGAATTTATCCATCTCTGAACTTTTCATTTTTGTCAAAATTACACCTAGGTCTTAAGAAAAATTAACACAGTTATTGCCACACACGGGAGATGAAGTATATTAGTGTTTATATGCCTATCAGTAATATATTGTTGTAGTATGATGAAGACTATAGATTCCATACACCAGTTTGTAGTCAAACAATGTGAATCACAAAACTGAAGAAGCAAAAAGAACGACAACTACCCTTGACTTTTTAGACAAAGATGGATAGTGGCTAGCAGTGGAATCTAGGACGTGCGTTTCGTCCTATTTGTGACTTGTCAGCTGGATGTAACTGTATCTCAGAGTTGATGTTCACTCTGGAAATCCAACCCAGTACCTTTCGCTTTTAAACGCCATCGCGTTATCCATTCAGCTACTGAGTCCTGATAGCCACTTGGTTGTTCCCATGGGGTGAAGTTTGAATTCACTTGGTATTATTTGTTTGAATCATTATTTAATTAACTACAGAATACTAAAAATTAACAAGTGTGATTCATAAGGTACATTCATATATTTGCTTTAACCAAACTGAAATGGGAAAATGTATATATTCGAACTTATCAGTTAAAATCTAATTGTTTTAATTCTAATAATTGAGATCATGAGTCAATTGAAGCTAGACCACCATGAAAAAACTGGAAGCACTGGACGGCCGTTTCGTCCTAGTGTGGAACTCCTCAGTGGTCTAGAAGTTAAGTGCTCATGCGCGAGATTGATAGGTCCTGCGTTCAAATTTCGCGCGACGGGATCGTGGATGCACACTGCTGAAGAGTCCCCCACTAGGACAAAATGACTATCCAGTGCTTCCAGGTTTTTCATGTTTGTCTATCTTCAATTGATTCATGATTTCAACTATATAAAATTACTGAAATCTCCACAAAAACCCCTTCTGATAATATTGAATGAATTTACTTTCGGATACCTTAATGTTAACATAAAATTTATGAATATTATTTAATCTTGATATGGTTAACTGATTTTATTGGACACTTTTGAAAAACATATATACAAATAAAAAAAACAGTATCAAAAGTGCCTATGATATTGATGAAGACGATATAACTTCTTGACAATTCTTTGTATAACATGTTGTTTCATTATTATCATTTAAAGTAGGCTTCAATTTTTTTTAATTATTTTTAGTTGTTTTCAGTAAATCAGCTTCCCATATATCTTGAACTAATCGATAAATTGCCATGGATGCACGAGCATCTTCAATTGAACAATGTTCAGCATTTTGAATATTAATACCTATAATATGTAATTGTAAGAAAATATGAAAGATATACATATATACCAATATGAGATTGATCAATAATGACAGTCCTAAACATTAATGGGAAGTCAATTGAAGCTAGACCACCATGGAAAACCTGGAAGTACTGGACAGTCGTTTCGTCCTATTATGGTAGAACTGATAGGTCCTGGGTTCGAATCTTGCGAGTGAGGGATCGTGGATGCGCACTGCTTTCTGATAATAACTGAATTACTTCAATTCATCAATAATAGAATGCAATTTATAAAACTTTTGAATTTTTTCTTTTTAAAAGGAAACTCTATTCCTACATAAACATAGAATACACATAATTATTACAATGATATATAATGTCAAATATGAACTATAGTTTTGTTGACAATTATTGAACTAGTTTTCATACACATTTCGTTTAATAATAATTTTAGTTCATGAATATAAAGAAATAACTAAATTTGGACGATATCTATTCCAAAAATTGTTACCATGAATCAATAATTTACGGAACAAAAGATTTTAACAATTTAAAGATAAAAAAAATTAGGTATCATAAATTACTATTATAAGCAAAGATGGGTAGTGACTAGAAGTGGAATCCAGTTTGACGAGCGTTTTGTCCTATTTGGGACGCGATAGCGTTTGAAGCGAAAGGTACTGGGTTCGAGTCCCAGAGTGAACATCAACGCTGAGATGCAGATACATCCAGCTGACGAATCCCAAATAGGACGAAACGCGCGTCCTGGATTCCACTGCTAGCCACTATCCATCTTTGCTTATCTATATTACTATTATACTAATTTTTTAGGTCCAGTGATTCCATGGTGGTCTAGCTTCAATTGACTCATGACCTCCACTACATAAAAAAACATTTATATTTACATCAAATTTTAATTATGTAACTATTTATAATAATTAACTGATCATGAAACTTCACTCTACTCTTGATTTTCCAAACGTTAAATAACTAATTGACTATCATTTTGTTAAAATGATTCATCATCATTTAATTGGCATCAACTTTCTACTTATTAATAAAATATACATATTAGCGTAGAGCATTTGATGAAGAACTAATTAAAAAGAAATATTTTTTCATATAGCTGAGATCATGATTCGATTGAAGATAGACCACCATGGAAAACCTGGAAGTACTGGACGGCCATTTCGTCCTAGTGGGGGACTCCTCAGCAGTGCGTATCCACGATCCCGCCTAGTGAGATTCGAACCCAAGACCTATCAGTTGCTTAACTTATCTCTTCAATGTTTCAATGAGAATATTTAATAGATTATGACCACTTTTCTCAATGGTAAGATTACATTTTTTAAACTGATAATAATTTATTAGTATGGGGATTTGTGGAGATTGTAGTATTTTAACAGTTGAATTCACGAGTCGATCCGAGCCAGACCACCATTGAAAACCTGGAAGTACAAGATCATGGATCGATTGAAGTTAAACAATAACACCGTTAGATGCCGATTTAATGGTCTAGAGGTTAAACGTCTGAGTCTCAAGTGCAGGCTCGTGGATGCGTACTACCGTTGAGTCTCATACTAGGACGAAACGGCTATCCAGTCCTTCCATGTTTTCAATGGTGGTCTAGCTTAGATCGACTAGTGAATTCAATCGTTAAGATAATAATTTAGACAGAATTGAATAGAACTTTGACTCATACACATATTAACTATTATGATGCTAAACAATTAATTCAACACAATAAATGATAAGATAAGGTTAGCTGAATTAATCATTTTAACCATAGACTATCTTCTAAACAGAAGAACTAACCGACAACTGATTGTGATAATATTAAAGAATAAACAGATTCGGCGAAATGTTCAACCTTGATAATATTATAATCTATCATACAATAAATAGATAGTCAAACTAAAAAGTGAAAAGATGGATGATGACTAACAGTGGAATTCAGGACATGTGTTTCGTCCTATTTGGCCCCTGGTACGGCCGAGAGTGGGGAGAGTCCGCTCTCCCTCTCCAAATGCCCTCACATGGCCACGTGTATATAGCCTCTGTCAGGGAGGTCTTACCCACTGCCTTCTCGTGGCACTACTGTTGTTTGCGAAATTGAGAGGACGAAAAGCGAATGTCCGGTGCTTTAACCGGGTTGGTGGACATGGAAAGTCTACCTAGGGGAGTTGGAAAACCCTGGTTCCAAACCAATGGTGCACATGGGATCCAATATCCTAAGGAAACAAATGGGATATGAACCAATCGTTGGTCACCAACTACCATGGGACTGTATCTCCTCACGATGTTCCACTGCCTTGTGGATCAAACCTTTAGGTAAAAGGCTTTGGGTGTGGTTCCCTATGAAAACTACCTGCTTCAGTTTGAGCAGTCGAGCAGTATCACAGCCCTCACACAAATCACATGAGATTTGTGCGGCGCATATATATATATATATCTGGTGCCTCTTTGTACCAATGTTTGTGTTTAAATAATAAATAATAATAATAAATTCGGGACTCGTCAGTTAGATGTATCTGCATCCCAGAGTTGATGTCCGCTCTCTCTGTGATCAATTGAAGTTCTAAATATCAATGAGAAGATTCAAATAAACCATATAAAATGAACTAAAAAAGTGAAAATCACTTTCATCCATGGTATATTATATATTCATGATGAAAATTGTCATTAATAAGCATAATTTTTTAAAAAATAAATTTAGTATGTGGGGGTTGTTTGTGCAGATTTTAGTTATTTTTTTATAGTTGAAATCATGAGTCAATTGAAGCTAGACCACCATGGAAAACCTGGAAACACTGGACGGCAGTTTCGTCCTATTATGGAAATCCTTAGCAGTGCGCATCCACGATCCCGCCTTGCGAGATTTAAAGCCAGGACCTACCAGTCTCGCGCGCGAGCACTTAACCACTAGACCACTGAGTCGGCATCCAACGGTGTTAATGTCTAACTTCAAACTATCCACGAAGTTGAGCAACCATTTCACTAATGTCTTCAGTGAGTTAATATCTCCCAGCAGACCTGGTTGAACTCCACTGGTTACTGCTTCTCACTAGAACTCCAGGAAATACTACATGGAGCCAGTCACTAGTGAACATATGATAAGGGGGTTGTTCGTAGAGATTTTTAGTAATATATATATATATATATATATATATATATATATATATTTACATAACCATATTTTGTTGTTGTTGTTGTGAAAAGATAACATGGTAATCGATAAGGTAATCGAAGGTATACGAACAATAGTTGGGTCTTGGTATGTATATTTCTGTTACAAAACCTGCTGAAAGAAAATAACTTGGTCAATATATGTGTGTCCAAGTCTGAAATATGCTTGGTTCTATTATTTTTATTATTCCTGAGTTTAACTTAGGGATCGGATGAATATTATTGGACAAACCGATTACATTGTTACTACCACAATATGAGTCCTTTTTTTTACAAACCACTACGATAATGATCGAGACTAATCACATAGAATTAGGTGCATTTTATACGCCTCACTTAATATTTAAGTCGATTTTAATGATAATGCTGGATAGATATCAATAAACACTCCCGAAATTAACCCATCAAATTCTGTTGCTTTCCTCTACTCAAAGATAATCATGAGTTTCTCATCCACGATGGAAATTAAGACGCAAAGCTTGAATCAGTCTTAAAATTTAAGCTCCTAAAGAATGATGGATAACTGAAAAGTACTACAGCAAGTTCTAATATATAAAAGTAATCTAACTGATATATTTACAGATAATAATTTAAACCTAAATATTAATAAAAACAATCAAAAAAGTCTAATAGAACAATAACTATAGAAACCATGTAAATAGCATATGATGATAAGCATTGGATGAAAAGAGAAACTATTTGTTATAATCAGAGTATTTTTAAAAGAGTCTTTTTTTCAAAATCCACTTAGTATTGTTTGTTTGAATCTTCCCATTGATGTTTAATCAATGACGTCTCGCTTATCTTAGATCCACTTACACATACATACGATCTGTTATTTTAACACACACACCAGATGTCTTATACTCACTACAGCAAATTTCTACTTTCAACATTGTTAACATGATTGGATGATCTGTTTAGTATACAGTTAACTAGAGGACCATGTACCTATATATATTCGACAATTTTGATGTTTGTCTAGATTTCCTTGAAAAAATCTTGAACCAGATTGCTGAGTGAAGCATTGGGTTTACTTAACATTCAATCGCTGAAATTTTACAAATAAATTTTTATCATTAAATCACTTATAACATTCCTAAAAACCTTAGACTCAGCTTTTTGGTGTTGATCCTCAAATTTTTTGGAATTTTTTTTTGAAGTTATAACCCTACCGTCAGTTTGTTCCTTTATTCACAGTAAATTAGTTCCGTTCCGTATTTTGACTTAGATAAGTTGTGAAATGTTTATTTTTTATTATCGTAATCCTTCGACTTACTCCTAAATACATACAAGGAAATATATTTTGTCTTGACTGTTAGTTTTACTTTTTTGGCTGTTGTAATCGACGAAGCATGTTGTAAATTACTAAATGATTACTAATGTATGCACACAACAGTAACTCACTTCTGTAAATGTTAGTAGTACTATTCGGCTCAACAAACTGAAGTTGATGGGACCAGGGTTTTAGTCAGTGAGTGACAAGTAAAAACTTGTTTTTTAACCTTTAAGCTATCATAATAAATCAATACAGGTAAAATAGTGTAATGCCAGCTAAGGTAAAAGTAATATTCACTATGAAATTATTTTATTTTGATCTCATGATTATTAAGTCCTTAATTGGACTAAGGATTTAACCGAAAAATTACGTTGACAGTTCGGTATCAAGTTAGTACATTTTCCACATGAATTATTATTCTAAGGACAGAAAAACCCTGAAAAGTAAACCCATGACATGAGAGTTACAAATTACTATGGAATTTATAAAAATCTGTAACAAAATATATGATAACTAACCGAAAAGCCGGAGAGTAAGGGCTCTTAGGCCAATCTGAGGTTTCGTCGGAAAACCAGCAAGTAACTTAGGGTATGGAACCCTACAAGTGTCACGTACCAAATGAGGAGGATGCTTCATATTTAACACAGCGAAGTCATTCTTCAGCATATGCCCTACCACAATGCGATTCTGAAAAACAGGACGGATGTCAAACTGAATCCAATAATCATCATTGATTTGAAATAAAATTTAAATTGGATAATTGTACAAAATTTACACTAGACTGATATTTGAATATAGATTAAAGCACTACATATGTTTTTGAAATATCATACATTAATTTTATATTGAGCCTGTTACACAAACATTGAATTACACTACCACATAGTCACCTTTGATATTTTAATAAAATGTTTGACCAGTAGCCATTTTAATCGCTAATATTTAAAACTAGGTGCTTACATGTATGATTTTTTCAACATGCTCTCGAACATAGGAATAGGGCATTGCACGAGACATATCTTCTTGACGTATTCCACTCCATTTAGTGCGATAATCAGAAATTTCTCCTTCAGGTTTAACTATGATGTCACATAAAACTTTTCCCTCATAGTCAACAATACTAATGCGTCCTAAAGCATTAGAATTTTCGAGTCCAACCCCAACCATTTCACAATCCAAAGCAATTGGACTCAAATTAATGGGACAGTTCATTTCAGACGTAAGATTTGATGAATCAAAAACTATAAAGGTGATCTGTAAGATAAAAGGTCACTTACCTGGAGTAATGTTTTCTTCATGCTTACAAGAAAGACATTTAATCTGAATCGGACACGTGTACTTCTTTGGCGGACATTTACTACTAGATTTATAAGCATAAAAATAACTGTTACTACTATGTGCAAGTACTAAATAAGTAGGAATATTTTCTGAGTTATAACCATTATATCGATGACCAAAACTCTTAGGTAGAGCAGATTGAGGAGCTATGAATAGGATTGAAATATAACTGCATGAACTGTTAAGCCACAAACTATGTTATTCTTTCGTGCGATGCACTTACTATGAATATACAAAGCCACAGGTTTGAATTGAGACAGACGTAGTAAAACTTGTTAGGAAATAAGACAACTGTGCGTTTATCCAAGTTGTTACGATTCCGATCAATATCTACTAACTACGATAGATCTGATTTAATGCACAAAGGCTGTCGGGCGATTACACATGACTCCATGAACAAAACTGTTAAGCAATTAAGGTGTGAGGAATATAAATATAGTTCCAACCTCAGGATGTAGAAAAGGGTTCAGATTTGTGAACCAGTTCTGCATATTCTAACTCATTATATTAATTTATAACCTTTTATTAACGCTATTAAGTAGGTGGATATTCTAAAGGTCCCTGTGGCATCGCTCAAAAGTCGTGCGTAAATAATAGTCCTACTGAGTTTCGTTAAGCTTTCCACTAAAAAAGCTTTAGATGAGTAAATTTATCTATAAAACAGAGCAGCCATCAACAAATACTACTCTTTCACGATTAAAGAGAATATAAATCGGAGGAACTAAGTATAGTACCAATATATTGGTGTGTATTTTTATATTTAAAAATATAAAAATACACACCAATTATAGAATATAATAATTCATCATGAACTGACTTAACCATTTCTATTAAGGAATGACAAGTATGGAACTTTGACGTCAAGATACTTTTAGATGTAACGTCTTGAAAAGCAGTTACACAATATCAGCTAGAGAACTACATTAATGATAAGTAACAATCCCAACGGACAGCGCGCGTTGTTTCAAGAGCAGTAGGAAACCTCAATATATCCAATATTCGTGTGACAAAAGAGTGTAAACCAGCTACTCTTTTGAGCTCATTTATTTTGCTTTCATGACTAGATTCCATGTCGTTTCGTCGTTTGATGTGAAGATTTAGTCTAACAATCACACTAGAGCGTTATATATTGCCGTTCACTTGGAGGCGGGAACGATCTAAAACACCAACACAACAGTCAGGACCGGTAAGTGCCTCTGAAGTAAGAACACTTTGTACCGGCACAACATATATATTTTTGAAACTGAAATACGTGGTCCAAGTACAAAAGGGGAAACTTACTACAAGATAGTTTTATTCGCTGTTCTGAAGGTTCGGATCGCGTATGGCTTGTTCCTCTTCTTTCAGTGCGTCTTCTCTTTGTTGCCTTGCAATAAGAAAAAACTCGCATTGGTAGCGTCGTATGTGATGGTTTTTAATACCGTTACGCCACCCCCTCTCTCCATGAGGCACTATCTTCAGTGACTGGTTGTGGAAATGGGTATGCTACCTCTCCTTCTATTATCACTTCATGATGGATGATAGCAGTCGGGGGGTTGACAAACTGGGTATCTGAGTGCACCGTTGTTCTGTCTGGCTTCAATTGATTGTAGTGTTCTGTCATAACATCGTCTTCAGGCCGTTGGAGGGTACATAAGACGAATGTAATAGGGGACCGAATAAACATATTTTCATGAGGCCTTTGCTAAGGCTGATAGAACTTACTGCATGTTCCTGGTGCAGCCAGAGGACAATGCAGCCAAACACGATCTCCGGGTTTAAATACGGGGTCTTTAGTTTATTGGTCGCTAACATCCTTTTGTGTCTACTGGCGTTTTGTGGGTTGGTTTTAACCGAGCGATATGCGTCGGTTAGACGGCTGCGAAGGTTACGGGTGTATGGTACATGGTTCTAAGCTTCACATGGCAACAACGGCATTTGTATCTAAAGAGGTAGGTGTAATTCATGTCCAAAGAGTAAAGTCGCGGGTGAAAATCCCGTTGACCCATGCACAGATGCGCGGTAAGCTAAAAGACATTGGCGTATTGCATCATCCCAATATTCCGTTGACATTTTATTGATAAACGATTGTAGAAGAGTTTTGATAGTTCTGTTTGTTCTTTCTACTAAACCGTTACCCCCTGGGTGATATGCAGTAGTGTGTTTTGCGGGTTCCCAATAATCGGCATACCTGGCCGACGAGATAGCTTTCGAAAGCTGCACCCTGGTCAGAATGGAGTGAGAATGGAGCGCCGTAAGGAGAGACCCAATGATCAATAAAAGCTCGAACGACCGTGGGTGCATCTTGTTGTGGTAAAGGAACGGCTTCACATCATTTGCTAAAATAGTCCACCATCACCAGTATATGGCGGTTTCTGTTCATTGACGTTGTAAGTGGCCCCGTAATATCGATACCAACTCCTGATGTGGACCTTCTGTCGTCATTGGAACTAACGGTGCACGGGGTATTTATTGAGGTGACTTGATGGCATAGCACGTGCTACGATTTTTGCGGAATTCTGCCACGTCTTCATGGATGGATGGCCACCAAAACCTCTGGCAAATCGCGGGTTCAGTCTTCCAGTTCCCTGAGTGCCCTAGTTCTCGGTGCACCTGCTCCATAATATTTTGAACTTGTACACGTGGTATTGTCAACAGTGACTGTTTTTACTCACTAAATATAAATGACATGTCCCCGTACAATCCCAGAATACTTTACTTGGCGCGTCTCTGAGGAACGATCCTTTAACTCTGTCATAGATTGCTTATTATTTCTGTGTACTTGCCTTTGTTAAATGAATTGCAGGTCAGGATCTGCTGCCTGGAGAGACCGCCAGTCGATCTCGGGGGCTGTGCTAATGACAGCACTGATGGCACTAGGAGAATAAGGTATACGAGGCAGGGAATCGGCGTTTGTGTGTCGGCTTTCTAGTTGGTATTCGCAAGTAAAATTGAATTCCTGTAATCTCTCCTGCCAATGCGCTACCTGACCTGGTTCGCGAAACGAACGAAGCCATTGTAGTTCATGATGGTATGTGCGTACACAAAAAGAGCGTCCTAGGACGTAGCGACGAAAATGTTGCAAAAAGTTCGTCAAAGCAAGCATCTCTCGGCGGGCCGTAGAATACCCTGTCTCTCTCTTGTCTAACCGTCTAATCGCGTACTCCATGACCCTCTCTTGTCAGTCTTGTGCTGTTTGAGACAGTACTGTCAGGATAGCTGACGAGCTAGCATCAGTATCAAGTATAAACTCCCTTTCTTTAGCCGAAGTATGCGGAAAAGCTAGTATGGATGGGGCAGCAAGACATAACTTCAAAGTGTTAAATGCCTGTTGACATTCTATGGTCCACGAAAATTTCTGTCCTTTATGCGTCTGGCGATGTAAAGGTGCTGCCAGGGATGCGAAATCGCAAACGGAACGTTTATAGTAAGAAGCGAGCCCCAGGATGCTGAGAAAATCCTCAGCAAATTTCGACTGTGGCCAGTGAGTAATGACTCCTATTTCTTCCTTGTCTGTTCCTACCCCATCTTCCGTAATACGATGTCTTAAAAAGAGTCGACATTTGGACAGTTTCACCTTTAAGTTGTGTTGCCTAATACGTTGTTGGACTTCCCTCAAGTTAGCATTATGCTTTTAGGGCATGCTACCATACACACTAATATCATCAAGGTAAATCAAGCACTTGTGTGGTACGAGGCCATCTAGAACTGTCTGCATCAGTCGTTGGAAGGTAGCTGGGGCATTAGTTAGACCGAAAGTCATCATCTGAAATTCGTAAAGACCATTTGTTACAACGAATGCAGTCTTCTTTCTGTCTTGGAATCATACTCTCACTTGCCAGTACCCGGATGCTAGGTCTGAAGTCGAAAACCAGCAAGCACCTTTCATAGCATCTAATGTAGCATTAATCCGCGGGAGTGGAAAGGAGTTGCGCTTCGTTATAGCACAAAGCGACGATAATCTATACATAGCCGAAGAGAGGAATCTCTCTTCTACACTATAACGATGGACGAAGCCCACGTTGATGAAGATGGTGCAATAATCCTTTCCTCTATCATCTCCTCCATCGTTGATTCTAACTGAGGCTGATAGTGTACTGGTACTCTTCGAGGTGGTTGACGTAATGGCATATGGTTGGAATGGAGTGTTGTACAGTAGCCGTCCAATTTTCAGAGATATTCTCCGAGAAATCAGTACTTAATTGTTTGAGTAGGGAAACGGCTGGCAGACGGACATTCTCCGTTATTTGTTTATGAGCTTGTACTTGACGTATGACTCCAGACACCCTTACATGAGCTACCAATTTAAATGGGTTCTTGGGGCGATGTGTCGGTATAGTTACTTCCCCGATCTGAGCTTCCGCCTTGGCTACATGTATAACGACGTTGTATCTTAACATGAAGTCGGCTCCAAGTATTAAATCCCATGTGAGTGTGGGGCATACCAAGGATTTGTGTGGGAATGAGTGTTTGTTTACCGTTACGTTTAACCACACCTTCCAGAAGGTCACCACCAGCTATTTTTAGTGCGGGGGAACATGGTTTTTACCGGTTCTTATGATTTGATATGTGTAAAAATCTTCTCTCATAATGGATACTGAAGCTCCTGTATCCAGTAAAACAGTGGTTTTTAGTCGCTGTAAACTACCAGTTATAGTTATCGGATATCGGATTTTGAATAATATGAAGGTAAATGGTAAAACCTAGTCTCACTTTGCTTCCAGAATTTATTATAGCCGCATTTCCAACCGAAGTGTTGGCAGCAAAAGCATTCTGTCTTCCCATTGTGCTGACTTGTTCGTAACGGTTGTCTATCCGTCCAACATTTGACCGCGAAAATAATTTCAGTAGAGTCAGATTGATGTGGCACTCCAGACTCTTCGGTAGCTGTCGCTGTCGAATAGGGTGTATATAAACTGCTTGATAGCTTGTAGTAACAGTTTATATGTTAAGCCCATATACTTTATTCTAGTTGCTGGCCAAGCCAGTTCGCCTATCCATTATGAGTCATATTTTGATCTTGTTAATCATTTGCTTATTAACCTTGACCATACTTTTATATGAGCATATATGTGTACACTTCGTATCTTATTCATCGTATGTCTGTCACTCATTTTTGTCCGACTATAAATGTTGATTAACGCTTGCCTAAATCGAGTTGGCTTCTCAGCCACCTCCAATACGCATCATCTTTCGCCTCGCTCTCGAGTTGGCTTCCCAGCCATCTCCCATGCATGTCGTTAACGCCTCGTTCGCTTCCTTCGCTTATTCGCCTGTTCACTCGCTCGTTATTATTCGCTCAGGTGTTGTTAACTTTCTGACCTGAGTTATTCGACAATAAACTGTAGTTGCTACTATCTTTTGTCTTCTGATTTTACGCACCGTTAAGATTAGAATTATAACGGTTATCGAAGTAAACGATTAACGAATCGCGGCACTACAAGCTTGCCCGTGGCCATAAACTGAAGGACTGTGGTTTTCAGATCCTGTATACTCTTTGGTGGCATATGTAAAAGGTGCTATCGTAGTGCATCCGGCAAAAGCCCTTCTGCAAATCGTGCGTGCATTAGTTCTTCCCGAACGGAGACATCTCAGCAAGGGAAGGCTAGAATTGCTGCAAAGGGTGAAGGTAATCGATGGGCTCTTCACTTATTTTCAGGTGACGTGATAGAAACTGGATGGCCCTTAGTTGAGTGTCCACTGTTAGTGAAAAACAGTCGTCCAGAATTTTCCAAATTTGAAATGCTGAATTGCTTGCAGTGAATTCGCTGGCTGTTGCCCTTTTTGTCTCTTCAACGTCTAAGCACGATAGGATGTGGTCGAAATGCTCTGTAGCTGGAACTTTACATAAATACGCCATTATTTTGATCTTTCAAATAGCGTACTCTGATGAAACTCCCAGTAGTGGTGGTTGGCAAGGGATTGTACCGGTTGTTGACTTGCTTGGAATGACCGGTAATTGATCATAGCCTTTATCGTGTTTTGTCATAGATACCTCCGTCACCACTTGTAGCACGTTATATATTGCCGTTCACTTGGAGGCGGGAACGATCTAAAAC